ACTCGTTGTTTGAGACAACGAGAATCAGGCAGCAACGCTCCTTAAAAAAAATCTCCTATTCAATGAATTTGAATAAGGGAGTAAAAGTGAGTCCAAAAATTATTTTGTGTGTCAAACGATGTACACGAAAAATATTTGAATAAAATATTTTTTCTTACCAAAAATATTTTATAATATCAAAATAAATATTTGATAAATGTTTGACACACTTTTTGTAACTGACCCAATAAAACTATTTTGAACAGTTAAAAAGATTTTTCAACTGACTCCAAAAATAAATATAATTTTTATTTTGACTCTCATAAAAATAATTTTGGAGAGAAGATATTTTTGTCATCCTTACAATAATTCCTAAGACTCAAATAAATAAAAAGTCTTCGGAAATCTTCTACTCCTCCGAGTCCTCCGTTAGGCGCTCCGGACGCGTCTCGGACTTCAACAAAATCATGTGCACCTTCTTGAATACTTCAAGGAATGACACTTCAAGTCTTCGTATTTGTTGTTGTAGCACTTTAATCTTGACTTGAATAAATTGTGTTTGTCAATTATCAAAACCTGTGAGTCAACACTAAACAACACAGAAAGGGTTGAACTCATGCATTCCAACAGAAGAGTATCTTGATCGACGCACGATGCTGAAGCAAACAGTGACGAACTTAGGACATAGACTCCATTATTGGCGTTACCCCATCCAATCTCCATTCTCGAAAAACGGTCCTGTAACACACAACAATGATAATCAAAAATTACAAGACAGTTATTGCCTTTAATAATGCATCCAACGGAAATCGGATTACACTTTAATTCTGGAACAAAAAGCACGTTCCGAAGAATCAAAGTGGGCGACAACATCACTTTTCCGCACGTTTTAGCTACCACAGTCGAACCATCGGGAAGAGTGATTTTGCACGGTAAGATAGACATAGTATCAAAAAGACATGCAGAGTTACCCGTCATGTGGTGTGAAGCCCCACTATCAACAAGCCAATCATTGGACGAAGGTTGCGGCATACCATTAAGCTTACCGGCGGTAGGTGTTGTATCAAGCTTAGATAATAGACGAGAAACCTAGTCCGGTGTCAAAGAGGCTGCCGAAGCCGTCCCGGAGTCAAACTGGGCGTCGAGACCAGCACCAGCGGCCTGGGCAGTGCCGACTGGATGCTGAACACCGTGCTAGACAATCTGCCCCCTATACCGGATCTTCCTCCGCCTCGGCTAGGACTGCCACGGCCACCACGCCCCCCTTGGCCACCCCTTCCACCATTAGGGAAGCCAATAAGAATATAGCAACGATCAACCGTGTGTCCCAATTTTCCACAATGGGTGCACTGTTAATTGTTGGGCGGCGGTGGAGGAGGTCGAGCGACAGCGAACGCCATGGCATCCGTACGATCATCCCTGGCACGAACAATAGAACGGTGACATTCTTCCTGGGTGATCAAAGAGTAGGCTCTGTTGATATCAGGAATAGGGTCCGTCCCAAGAGTTTGAGACCGAATTCCCCCATATTGCTCGTCGTCCAACCCGAGCAAAAACGTATGGGTCTTCTCTTTCTTGACGTCATCACGAAGTAGCGCGGCTGCTCCACACCGGCAGCCCCTTGTCGGGTCTCTTCCCCCATATAATTGATTCCGGAGAGTGATGAACTGGTTGTAATAAACCACCACAGACTGCCCCTTTTGACGCAAATTTTGCATCTCGGTCTTCAATTGATGAATCCGCAGTCCGTTGGAACCCACATAACGTGATTTCAAATCCGACCATAATTCAGGAGCAACACAATGAGAAACGATGCTAGGTTGAACATATTCATCCACACTGTTCAAAATCCAAGAACAAATAGTCGAATTATTGGACTCCCATGCCGAAAGTTCTTGTTCCTCATTCGGTTTAGGCATGCCTTCGGCGGTCAGAAATTTGGCTTTTCCACGGCCCTTTAACGCATTACAAATCGCCTTCTCCCACGTGTCAAAATTTTTCCCACGCAAGAGATATTTGGTGAGGGAATTACCTGGGCCTTCAGACGGATGAAGATAATATGGTGAAGACGGATCATGAATTGGTAGAGTTGGAGTCTTCTTGCTTGTGTTGTCTGCCATTGTGTCGAAAGAAGAAGCAGAAAAACAGCGTTCTTTGCGCTGAGACGAAGACGGAGAACGAGAGAGGCAGCGGCTAGGTTACACGATTTACGCGGTTGGCTCTGATACCATGTAGAATTTTGGGAAAAGAACGTTCTGCCTTTTCTATTGATTTCCACCAGTATATATAGAGTACATGGACTAGGACTATCTACACATGGCCCGATAATAACAAGAATAAGGCCCAAAACAAGTATACACAAAATACAACAAATATGGGTCGGTTAACAATCTATAAAAGGATATAAAGAAATAAAATAAGAACATATTTTTACTCATTGACTTCACACTGATTTATTGATTTAAAAGGTTATAATACTTTATCTTTTATTTATAAATTTTTTACTTCAATATTTGAAAAAATGACATTTGTCAACTTTTCAATACGTATTTTCATACTTCGAATATAGAAATATTTGCACTAAAAACTTAAATCATTTCTCTAAATACCACTTAAATTGTTTTATTCCTAAATAACACTTAATAATGTTCATAATGATCAGTGATGGCAAACATTTACTTGAATAATGACTAATTTATAATGACTAAAAGTGCTACATTGAGAAAAAAACACATGTAGTGCTATTTAGAAAAAATCATTATGTTTTAGTTCTATTTACGTAAATTCCTCACAAATATATTGCTTTTATGATTTTATTTTATTGTTATACAATTTATGGTTTATATTCAATATATTATTTATAATGTAAATTGTAGAATATAACATTTATAGTTATCTATTATTATATGATATTTTTAGTTAAATTATAGTTAACAATTGATATAAAAAATGTTTCCAAGATATTGAAAGGTAACCATGCAAGGATAGGCAGCGAAATATAAAAATTTTAACATCCTAACATGATTATCTTGCCCAGAATCACGTACTAAAACTTATAGTGAGTAAGAAATTTATACCTTTCTCCGTAAGCGGTAAAAACGAAGAGGTCGTAGGAAGAGCGTTGAAAGTGCAAACGTAACCATTCAAGTGTCCGGTCTCCAACTTTGACACACGAACAACGCCAGAGTCTACCACAATCTTTATGCTAGTAAAGATTATAGTAGTATAAAATATAAAGATTAAAATTGGGATAATAATAGTATAAATCATTTCTAATAATATTAAAGATTAAAATATTTAATATTATTAATAGTATAATAGTAGTATAAAATATAAAGATTAAAATATTTCTAATAATATTTACTATTATTAGATAAAGATTAAAATATTTCTAATAATATTTATAAAATATTATAAATATTTTCTATACACAAAATGATATTAATGGAACCAAACTAATATTTCTTCTCTCTAGAAAAATATGGCCGAATGACACACTACATATTCAAAGATGATGATCTTCTCATATATAATTTTTTTTAAAGTACCGTGCAATCAATGCAAAAAAGAAAAAAAATTCCAAAGTGATTAATCAAACTTTGTCATTAAGCTAAAGGTTAAAATTAATAAACTATTAATCAAAGATTGATTTTAATATTTTGAATCCTTATGGCCTAAAGTTTGATTGTGAGAAGGATTTTCAAAATTCTTCTCCACTCAAATGTTCAAAGTGTATTTTATTTGACACCAAAAATTAATATAAAATTAATTTTAAATCAAATAAAAATACCCATATCATTTTTTAAACAAGTATACAAATATACTTTAAATAGTTTATGTCAAAATAATTATTTTCATAATTAAAATGACAAACCAAAATAAAATATTCAACATATAATATATATATATATATATATATATATATATA